GAAATAGGAATCAGAAGAACAGAGGCATGCCATTGAGAAAAGTTTCTAATAAGTGCAGCCTTGGCATAAAAGCGAGTGATGGTAATGATAGTGGGGTGGTTGTGGCGGTGGTCGTGGTGGTGGTTACGGTGGTGGGGCTGGCTGCGGCGGTGGTGGTGGAGGTTGTTGACAATGATGAGGTTAAATGCTGGGTGCAGCCGAAAGAGAGAACCTCTTCAGGTGACCAGAACCAGACGAAGCAGCATGTAAAACAAAGAAGAAGAGACTCCGGAACATCTCGGAACCACAGAATGCGGACAGTAGCAAGAAGATCCTGTTTTGGTTTGAGTACGTTCAAGTGGTGACTGTGGACTCTTTCTCGAGCATGTATTGCATTGCTTTCCGGAATTGGCTATCCTTACTTGAACCTGTGCAGAGTGTCCTGGAGGTTGGCACGGTTGGTGGCAGAACGGGGATCATTAGGAGCAACAGCCGCCCGATGCAATTGATGACGACCTCGGTAATTGTGACAAAATGATCGAAGCATGGGGGCACCTCGAGCCTCAAAAGATCGCCGAGCGGCCGAGCCAGAAGCGGCAGGAGACCCTCGTTGGTGCATTCCGTCATTGGTGTGATGCCGATGGCAAGGCCGTTCTCAAGAGCCTGTGGCTCGGCTGGCATGGTGGGAGGTGTTTCGCATGCAAGGTGCGACATGAAAGCAGTATAAACCTGCAAGCTGTCCGGCCCAATCCTCAAGCCCGTTTCCCCATTGCAAAGCCAGACTCTAGAAACAAGAAATGCTGCTAACCATCACTTGTGCTGCCGTTCCCCATTCCAGCCCACCAGGCCGCGGCAACCCTGGCTGAGCTGAGCCGCCGGCAATCCGAATGGGTCCCTGAGCAGCACAAGTAGTGGTAGTGCAGTATAGCGGTAGTAGCGGTAGTAGTGCAGCAGGAGGAACAGGAGGAGCGAGGAAAGCAGGAGGAGCAGGAGCCGGAGCCGGAGCAGGAGCCGGAGCGGTAGCGTGAGGCGGAAGTAGTAGAGAGCGCAGGGCTTGGCTGAAAGATGCAACTAGCAGAAATTCAAGCACAATGCAAACGCTAGAGTCCGATAGAGGTGACCCCTGATGGTTCAGTTCCGACAGGCGTCGTAGACGACAACTTTCATGATAATCTGGAAGGCTTTTGTTTAAACGATAGATTCCGATAGTTTTTCATGTCCGAGACACTTTTTAGTTGGGAATGATGGAGCATTCGGCCCTACTGGTAGTCATAATCTTCGGATTGCTAGTGCAAGTGGCTCGTGAGTGCGACAGCAGCAACAACAGCTGATTCTTTGAGGCCCTGTGCATGCCAGTATGGGCCTGAATGGGTACCAGACACGAGCATGCGGGGAACATGGGCCACTAGCCCATTAGCGATTACAGACCTCGAACTTCCTCTGAACTGGCTTCTGCATCCTGAGACTGTAGCTTGTCCTTGCAAAGTGGGAGGGAAAAAACAGCAAATCCGCCCGATCCTCTCCGTGTCTGAGGATCGACATCTATGGCCCGGAATCCTAAACCCAACCCAGGGAGGGCACAAGCCCCAGACCGGAAAACCCGCAGCAAAAGCACCCAAAACCCAACTGGAACTGGCTTTTGGGTTTGCGCGGAGTTCGAGTTTCGGAGGTTTGGGTGGGTCCATGAAGCCTGCTGTGCGCTGTCTTCTCTGACTCATGTTGTGCAGACCCGCTGCGGAAGTCGGCACACCTGGACTTGACATCGAAATTAAACCTCTGCCTAGCCAACGTAGGCCGCAAGCTAAGCACAGGCTATGCATGAAGAAGATTGTTGGTTTTCACTTGCGCGAAAAGGGCCATGTGGGCACCCGGAGGAAAATACCCAGCGATCAGCAGACCCAACCCCCAACAAGCTGAAACGGCATCTCCGTGGCCTTTAAAGCGGAAAATCCTGAACAGGTTCAGGGTACGGGTGTTGTAGGATTGTCAGCAATTGCGCCATCAATTTAGTAGTAGATGGTTCTGCTGTTGCTTTGAGGCTTTGAGGTCTGGAAAAGCGCGATCGACTTGTGCATAGACTTTGGTCAGAACACCGTCCAATCTTGTTCTCTCTGCGATATTCGATGAAGTGCCTACAGAGAGTGATGTGTCAAATTTGCAAGCAAGTCGCAAACGGATTCAGCGGAAACCATGTGCTTGTGTCTCAGCACAGTCATGCCCCCAGAGGCTTTCTCATCGTCCGACTTAGATCTTTGGACGCATGCACATCACAAAGTCTAGCGAGTCCAGACTTCCAGCATGCTGGGGGCGGCCGCTGAGACAGATGGAATATGCCACAAGCGCATCACTCAGTGATTAGAAGACTCCGGGTACAAAGACAGTCCGGGGGGCAAGGTTCACGGGTTCAGAGTTTGGGCATGTTGCTTTCGTCGTGGATGCCACGGTAGATTCCGACGATGCATCGCAGATTATGCAAGGAGAGCCTTCATCTGTACTGGCCTATGCCTTGTGATAGCCACATAGCTTCGTAAAGGAGCTGGACTGGCCACATCTTCGAGCTGCCAAGTCGTCCAGTGCGATTTGTGGGTGTTTGCCTCTGCAGCTTCCAGCTGGCCCACATCTTTATCATAGTGGGTCGTAGAGTTGTTTTACATTTCGGTTTCTTGCCCTATGAGGTTGCACAGTACCTAACCGGTGACAGGGCATGGCACGGACCAGCAAGACAATAAAGACACTGAGTCCTGGGTTTTCCTCACGTGAGCCCGGAATAGCTTACCTACAGTCCAACTTGAACCCAACGGCAGTCTGCATTATGCAAACCCAGCCTCCGTAACGGCGCTCGAGTCCTCGTGCGAGCGCAGCATGGTGGGCTGCTGTGTCGCATTGTCGCAAGGCTTGCGGATGCCTGTATGTCCAATGCCTTTGAAGTAGCATGCCCATGGCCACCACCACGAGGTTCGTTTCTGAAGAGCTGGGTGTTTCGAAGCGCCCTCCGTGCAGCTTCTCCTGTTTGTGTTGCAAATCCTTTGGGTGCGTGTCAGTAAATTGTGTGGTGTTGTGATACTCAAGCCCTGAGCATTGACTCAGCCGAAGGTCTGGCTAACTAACCGATCTCCAATGGAAGGCAAAAGCTCTTGTTGCCACCCAGCACTTACAACTCACGCATCGTTTGTTGCATGCCTTTAGCTCTTCCGGACTGCCGAGTGAGAGCTGAAACATGGTGCTTGGTCATGCCTGTGTCTTCGTCTTGTTGCAAAATCCTGTGGAATTCGTCCGTCGGCTTGGACGTCACCGGAACGCCTTTGCTGGAGCCACCAGAGTTGGTTTCGCGCAGCAGGCACTGATGGTTGCCAAGGAAACTGTCGCCATGGATGTGACAATGCAAGAAGAACCAGTGACTGCCAACGGCCGTGTCGATATCGAAGCGCAAGTAAGAAGAAGCGTTGGATCGTGAAGCCACCGGACATTGCCAACTTAAGCCCTACATGCGCACCGGGAAGTCGTGATTGTATTGAAAGGCGTCGACCAAGCAATCCAGCCATCTCAATGCGCATTGGCCCTTTGCAGTTGTTCCGAGTTTCCGTGCACACTGTTGAAAAACGTGCACATTTTCAAACAACCTTAATGTGGGGCAGCCCTCTCAAGCTCAGAGCCTGAGCGCATTTGCGGAGCTAGAATGCTTACACCTACCTAACAGTGCGCCCGAGTTGCGGAATCGACGGACTTAACCGCCGAGGCTTAGAAGCCCTCAGTTCCCCAGCAGACGCCATATTCCCGCACGACAGCTGGCCAGGCCCGTGGTTCCGACGCTCAGGGGCTCGCGCTCCATGTAAGCCAGGCCGGCTGAGGGATTGACTATGTTTGACTTCCGGCTGTTCTGATTTCGTCCTCTTGAGTGTCGTGGGAATGGGAATTGCATATCTTCCCTGCAGGATTTTTGGCCTCTTGGTGTAGTTGTTCAAAGGCTTCGTTCCAGGTCCTCGGGATCGTTGAGGTTGATTGTGCTCGGCCGGATGCCACAGAAACCCCCCCTTCGTAGTTGATGCCATACTATAGGGGCCTAAATAATCGTAGTATACTGGGCCCCAAAACCCTATTCTACTTATTAAGGCCCCTATGTTAACTCTTCCGAGACGATGGGCTGCAGTGTCTCCAGAGACACAGACACCGTCTCGCGCGGGACGCAAACGAAGTTGGAGGACTTCCTTGACGGAAGCATGGGCATCCGCAAGGACTGCTCAAGGGGGTTCTTGTTGCTACTTGGAGGTTCAGGGGTAGTTATACGTGGGGTTATAAGGCACCAGAATATAGGTTGTAAGTCCTACTCATAACTACACTTGAAGTACTCGTGCTTGGCTCCTGGTTGCCCTTTTAAAGAAGTAGCCAGTTATGTTGGGTAAGCCGTGCTTGCTCGGCCTCGGTGTGTTTGTCCGTTCGTTCGTGCGTGTGCGCGTGCGTGCGTGTGCGTGCGTGCGTCTGTGGGTGCTGTGTGTGTGTGTGTGTGTGTGTGTGTGTGTGTGTGCAGAGTTGTTTTCTCCTTTTGGCCTGCTGAATGTCAACATCTCTTGACCATGTCTTGGTCGAGAGTTGATCTCTATCATACATGTCAGAAAGCGTGCGACATGTCTTTCCATGTAGCCTCAAACCTTCATCTCGAGATTCTTCCGTTTCTTTGTCGTTATGTGGCGGGGCTTGTATCACATCCGCAGCCTCCTGAAACGATGCACGTGTTCTTCATCCAGGCACGTTCTTTGCGCTTGCTAGTCTGCCTGTATCACAGTGGGAACGAGAGTTTTCTGTGAGTTGTACTGTTAGTGCACTTGGCCTTAGCGCTTTCCAGACGCTGCGTGGCATGCCCATGCTTTGCAAGTCGTAGGTGCAGCAGAATCGGCCTCTTAAATCCTTGGATTCCGTCTTTGCTCAACGGGCTTTGTTATGAGCAATCCATTGGTCGACTCCTGCAGGGAATCCTCATCACAGCTTCCGTCTTGTTTCTAGTGGCAAGGGAAGCGATTCGAAAGATGTTGCAGGAGACCTTGTACCTGACCCTCAAGGAGGAGGCCTCCATGGTGGATTCGTCATTACCTGGTCGCAGCATTGAGGCATTTTTGGATGCGTGCGGCGAGATCCCCAGAGCTTCCATCTTCGCGAGCATAGAAGCCTCAATTTGCGACGGCACACTCAGAGTGTAGTCATGGCCCTTGGAAGCTTTCGATTTCTGGTGTCCACTTGCTTAGGCTTACGGCCTTCAGTTCAAGGGTGTCGGACCGGTGTCGAAATTGTCACTGGTGGCATGCCGAGGTGGTGGATACTTGTATGATGGACTCCGTCGGAGCCTTCGCAGCGTCTACTTGGATGGCTACGGTCCTCTGAAGCTCCTTTCGGGTGTGTCGGTCTTGCGCCTGGACATCCAGGTTCCAGCCCTTCCGGCGCTGCAGGAGCTCAGGGATCGAGTCCTGGGCGGCGACTTCGAGCGAGATGTAAACGCGTTCCTCGTCGCCGATCCTTTGCAGATCCAAGTGGACCAAGCCAGGTTCCTGGAAGTCTACGAGCAAAGCCTTCTCGCTTTTGGGGAGCTTGCGCCGGAGCAACGCATGAAGTGGAAGGAGATGATCGGCCTGCAGGACCCTTTAACGGCGAAAGAGCGATCAACAGCTGGGGCCTTGCTGCGGAGACAAGAGAAAAGCGGCTAGCTACTAGGAGCTAGCAGTGTTTGCCGTGTTCTCTTCAGCTCTTCAATGCTTTTCACTTCAGGAGATACATCTCCGGCTCTCCTCGCCGAGCCTGGCAGCCTCCTTTCTGGACCTTCTTGAGGTGAGCCCCTCGGCTCAGGGCTTGTACGTGGCTTCGACGGAGGCCAAAGTGTTGGATTTCGTGCAGTGCTTGGCAGATCAGATTCGGAAGGACTCCGGTGATAGGGGCACCCCAGAACGGTGCAGGGCAAAGATGAAGGACACCTTTTCCAGGCTCACACTTCTCCATGCTCCATATACGACTCTTCTGCTTCCGGAGTTGCATGGCAACTGCGTGTACACAGAGCCTGTGTTCAACGTGGACGAGACCTTTGACTTCGGCATGTTTGAGGGAACTCCAAATGTCCTTTCTGAGTGCTTTGAGGCGGACAGTACCTCGCTGTTGCGCATCTTTGCAGACAGCCACTGGCTTCCGTCTGACCCATCACACCTCGCGTCCTCGCGCGCACGCTGTCCAGGCCTTACGGAACTCAAGCTTCCCGAGCTCCCAAGCTCAAGCAGTCCATCGATGTTGGTAAGCCCAGACGATGAAGAACAGCCTGTAGCATGCTTGGGCCTTGGTGGGCCACCGGTCAAGACGTTCCTTTTCAGCTGCGACGACTGGAGTCCAGACTGCCCATGTGGGTTCACCTGTCCTTTCCACTTGCTGGAAGAAACTCTTCATTCAACGCCACCGAGTCCTGATGCGACAAGATATGCACAGTACACCACTCACGTCCTGAGAGCTCTTCGACACGTGGTGGAGACGTTTCCTGGGATCAGCCTTCAGCATCGCCTAGCCTTGTTGGTGCCGGATAATGAGTTCTGCGACAGGTTAAAGCCGATTCTGCAAAGGCGCCTGCGCCACCGACTTCCACATAGGCACCTCTCCTTACTCTCTTTCGAGGAATCCTCGCGCAAGCTGCGTTCACAGCCAAGCACTGTCTCCGCCACGACAGAGCAAGAGAGTATCGTTCTGGATTGCATTGACAATGCAGATGGCCTGGGCAGTCTGATGACAGTTTGTATTGGGCTGGATGCACCCAGAAGTGGTCATCCTGGTGGTATGCAGACCTCCCAACTTTACCGGGGTATGATGCATGCTCAGCTTCTGGCGTACGTGGTGAATGAACACTTGCCAGGTGGTTGGTTGCAGCTCTGGAGTGCAGACACAGGAGATCCACTCCTTCGAAATGATGCGCCAAACGCTGCGGTTTCTGCTGCACTCGAGATCCTCGCGGCGGACGGTCTGAGCTTTGAGGCAGGGCATTGCCACACATGCCACGCTTCTACCATAGCTTCTGTCAGAATTCTATCGTCTGCTGCGCCAATCAAGAGATGCCCTGGCCAGGCACCCGCTACAGAACGAAATTGAGGTGCGAGTCTCAAAATCCACGCCTGAATTGACGGTCCGGGAGTGGTGTACAAGATCGGGAGATTGGAAACCCCCTCCTGCTTGGCATGACGCTGAGTCTGTGCCCGTTGGGAGCTGTAAACGTTAGTGCATCCTGCCTGCGGGCAGGCCAGGTTCCGAAGGTCCTGGTGCACCTATAATCCATAGCAGTTCTAGAAGTTTTTCAGTTTCAGGTCTAGCTGCCTGCTGGACGGAAGATCGTTTTGCAGGCGTCCTCAAGGGACGAGGAGTTGCCTTCGGACATCGGCGATTTTTCGAGCGACATCCTTCCGGTTTCAAGTTGAAGGCTGAAACATCTCGGTCCCTCGATGCCCGAAGTCGTGTCGTCGTTGCAGACCACCACGGTCTTCCTGGTGCAGAGCAGATGCAGCCTCCTTCTGAAAGAAGCAGGCCTGCAGAACAGCTCAAGCGCCGGAATAAATTTAAGCAAGGTTATGCCGAAGCAGAAGCACAGGCAGGAAGTTTCGTCGTCTTTGTCGTAGTAGTGGTGGTCAGCGCGATAGCCGTAGTGGTACTGCTAATGGTATACAGCACTCGCGCTGCCGCAGGGCAAGGGGTGGTGGTGGCAATCCCCTGTAGCAGTGGTAATCGTATTTGTCTTCTGGTGGTAGTAGCCGTATCTGTCGTAGTCGTAGCAGCAGTGGTCGAATTGGTAGTAGTCGTAGTCGCATCAAGTCCTGTGGTACATCAGAATACGTTTGTAAGATGTGCACACTGGTTGTTTGATGCAGGGTCGGTGACATTGCAAGCTGCCCTGCGCTGTGAGATCTCCGCTATTGTTGCGAAAAGGTTCCATCATGCCCATGACTCTGGAAGAGAAATCCACCGGTTTTCCGAACACAGATGGGCAAGTTCTTCTTCAGGACAACAGTGCGATTAGTCCGGTGGCGGAGGAAGGAATCCTGATCATGATGAAAACATTAGGAGAGGGCTAGGAAAAGAGAGACAGAGACAGAGAGAGAGAGAGAGAGAGAGACTGGTGACTAACCCGGCAACTATCCCTCATCTACATGTACTTTGAGAACATGATAAATACAAACTAGAACGAACCGGGGGAAAACCGTCACCAAATCTTCACGCCCCTCCAAAAGCCCCACGAACATCGGGGGGGCCCTTAGGGCCGAGGGGTTTCGCACTCCCCTCATGCCCCGGGGAAGAAGAGAGAGAGAGTTCCCGCCTCAAACCCTGAGCAAAGCAAAGCAAAGAGAAAAGCAGAGAGAGAGAGAGAGGGAGTCAACAGTTGTCGGTAACCGTAGCGCAGAGCACGTAATACCGTGCGTGCCGCCAACAAGGGGCAGCCCTCCAGGCGGGGGCGTGCCCTCAAGCCTTGTGAAAGAAAGAAAGAAAGAGGGAGACGAGGCCAGGAAAGGTTGAATTAGGAAGTGTACAGGGTTGGGGGTTCCACGGTCCAAGACGGTGCCTCGTTCCGGAGACGACGTGTCACGCAGACCGCCAGACCGGTGCAAACGTGCGCGGAGGCCTCGTGCCGATTGCTTGAGTGCAAGCAAGGGAGGCAGCAAACAAGAAAGAGAGAGAGAGAGAGAGAGATTCACCGTTACTGTCAGCCGGGGGATATCTTGATTGTTCCATCCTTCACCTGACCTAAGTACTCAGTACATTTGATAATAAGAACACTGACCCCGGCAACAACGACCCAAAGAAGTCGATTTTGTACGGTGTGAATCCCGGGGGAACCTGTACTCTAACTAGTGATTTATGCTCCAATGTACCTTGTGTCGACCCAAGGAACACACCGCTACAAGCTTTCACGCCCTTCTAAAACCCCCACAAACAACGGGGGGCCCTTCAAGGGCGAGGGGTCTCGCACGCCCCTCACGCCCCGGGGAAGAAGAGATTCCCCGAGACAAATCCTAGCAAAACAGACTGTCCTTCCTTTCACACCCTTCCAGAAGCCTCCGTACAGACATCGGGGGGCCCTATAAGGTCGAGGGGCCTGACCAGCCCTTCAACCCCCGGGGAAGAAGAAGAAGAGAGGGAATCGTATAGTAGGTGCGACTAGAGTTACAGTGAATGGGGAAAATGATCAACCGGGGCAAGCAACAGACAACTTTCTCACACTCCTCCAAAGTCCCCACAAAATATGGGGGGGCCCTAGTGGCCGGGGAGTCTAACCAACCCCTCATGCCCGGCGGAAGAAGAGAGGGAATCAGGGGGAAAGCGTTCAGTTTTCACTCTCTTCCAACGCCCCAACGAATTACGAGGGGCCTGTTAGGCCGAGGGGCGTCAGACACCCCTCATGCCCCGGGGAAGAAGAGAGAGAGATAGAGATAGAGATAGAGATAGAGATAGAGATAGAGATAGAGATAGAGATAGAGATAGAGATAGAGAGAGAGAGAGAGAGAGAGAGAGAGAGCGAGAGGGGGGAGGGGTCGTTCCCTTCCTCGCAAAAGACGGAAAGAGAGAGAGAGAGAGAGAGAGAGAGGGTCGTTCCCTCTCCTTCTACCCTCGCAAAAGAAAGAGAGAGAGAGAGAGAGAGCCCTCCAAGCTCTGCGGAAGAAGAGAGAGAAACAAACAGGGAGAGCGAGAGGGAGAGGGAGAGAGAGAGAGAGAGAGGGAGACAATTGCAAACCCCGAGCAAAGCAAAGCAAAGGGAGGCAATTCCCCATCCCAGCCTTGGCCCAAGAAGAAAGAACAGAGAGCGAGAGGGAGAGAGACAGAGTGAACCTCGCAGAAGATGTTGGTGTCACTTGCCACCTGCCCAACGGCCAGACACCTGCCGCGGGGCGTCCACCAGACCCCGCTGAAACGGAGGAGCGCAGAAGGCGGATCCAGAGCGACTACTTTTTGGGGGGAACATACAACGACGACCCGGCCGAGACCTCGCTCTACGGGTGTCACGAAGACCATGTCGGGGTGGCCCAACCCACAGCTGTGGACGAAGCCAGCGCACAACGAGAAGAGGACGAAGGGGAGGCCCGAGAGGAGTACCAGCTGCCTGAGAGCCGGCGCCGAGTGACAAGCAGCCCCACTGACCGCCCAACGCCGTACAGCTCCCCAGACAGAAGCGACTAGGCCCTGCATACTGTGATCTCTAATGCACTTTGCAAGGACGTGTGTTTTGTTTAAGCGAGGCAGGTAGCAGTGCAGTCTAGACAAAGTGAGACCGCGCGTACTGTGATCTATGCTCAGGTCTAACTCGTACCAAAGTGTTTCCCACCTTGTGCGGGGCAAGTAGAGGAGCTGTCTAAGTACCGTAAACATGGGGGCGTGGCCGGCACGTACTGCACTAGCTCATGTCACTTTGTCTTCGAGCAAGCTGGAACATGTCGTCTTTTCCCCGAGGCCATCCCCCAGTCTACCAGTCCATGCAGAGCCCGAGTCCTGTGACACATACCGTACTTGTAAGTGCGTTGTTGTCTACAGTATCTTGGCGGAGCATACCGTACTCGTACCACTGTTGTTGCTTAACTGGACGGGGCATGGCAAGTACACTTCCCGAACACCGGTGCGAGGCCTCAGTCTTACACATGGGCGCTGGTTGTTTCGGGGCGCCGATGCTTGCGGGAAGCTTGCCTGCAGACACTCCGAAGCTGCAAGCACAGCCAGCCGTGGAACAGCCCGGCAACACGCAGCGGGGCGGGAGCAACAACAAAGTAACACGTATTGTTCGTCATGCAGTTTCAACCCGAAGTGTAAGCTCCGCCCGCGGAGTACCGAACACCAGTCGCACGTAATTTCGTGCGTACAACCAACAGTCGGGCAGCTCCCGCGGGGGCTTGCCCTCAGACCTGGGGAAAGAAAGAAAGAGCGAGAGAGAGAGACAGAGAGAGAGAGAGAGAGAGAGAGAGCTTGTCCGAGTGCAAGCGAGAGAGAGAGAGAGAGAGAGAGAGAGAGAGAGAGAGAGAGAGAGAGAGAGAGAAGGTGGAAAAATGGGAAGTCCTGCGGGTTGGACAGTATCGCCAACGAAGCACTCAAGGCCCTCTCCAAGCATGACTACTGGCGGGGGAAGCTGCTGTACTTTCTGAATGACTTGCTGTACGTCGGCAAGCTGCCACAAGGCCTCGAAGCTGGAGTCACCGTACTCTTAGCGAAGTGCCCCACCCCCCAGTCATGGGGGGATACAAGACCTATTACTTTAAGTTCGACGTTGCTGAAAACTTTTTCGCAGCTGATCATACACCGAACCGCCCATATGGTACAAGGACCGTCAAGACTACAGTGGTCACGACGCCATCGACAAGGGGTGGAACTCATCATGATGTTGAGGAAGGTCTGCAGAACAGCACATGACTGGGGAATCCCCATGTACATTGCCAAATTGGACATTCGCAAGGCATTCGACTCTATCTACCAGGAGGCGCTCGCCGAACAGATCGCCCACGATGTGGGGGAAGTCGGGGAATCCCCCTGGGAAGCTCGAGCATGGGTACAACTTCTACACGCCCAGAAGGTCACTGTCCATTTCCGGGGGGAAAACTTCGATGTGGACCAAACTAATGGCGTCCGTCAGGGAAGCCCCGATAGCCCCATCGCATTCGGACGTGTGGTCGCCCTCGAGCTGGAACGCTCGATCCAGCAGTCCGCGCCCGCAAAGTGCACTTTCGGGGAACCACCACCGGAAGATGGATGTTGCTACATGGACGACAGCTACATATGGTCGACCACGCGACACCACCTACAGACCATGCTGGACAGGCTGGGGGACAACCTTCCACCCAAAGGCCTAGACATCCACCCCGACAAGACGGAGATCATCGACAACCAGCATGGGGGAGTATCCTTCCAGGTGGCGGGGAACACCGTGACCAGCAAAGGGCCCAAGCACATCATCAGAACTCTGGGGAGCCCGATCTGCTTTGCCAGCCCCCCTGCTATACTCGTAGCCGAAATGCAAGGCCGGGGGAGACGTGCCTTCGGCAAACACAGGGGGACGCTCATGTCGAAGGCCCCTCTCAAAAGCCGCTTGCAGCTCCACACAGTGCTAGTCAGACAGAGCGCCT